GCAAAATAGTTTCTGCTGGGTATTGAGGGAGTGGGGGGGAGAGGGAGGGGGCGGAGTGGGTGGTAAGGGAGGGGGTGGGGGCAGGGGGGAGAAATGTCCCAAGCATTGTATGCACATATGAATAATAAAACAATTAAAAAAAGGACAACTTCAGTCCTTCCCTCCCACTCATGTGCTCTTTGACCACATGATGCCTTGCACCATGTATGATGCAGCAGGAAGACCCTCCCCAGATGCTGCTCCATGATCTTGGACTTCCCAGCCTCCAGAACTATAAGAAATGACTGTCTATTCTTTATAAATTACTATCCCAGGGATTCTGATGTCCAACTCTTTTTTTCTCTCTTTACCTTCACCCTGTACATCCAAGAAAAAAATCTGCTTTCATCTGGATTGTATTTTGAGGATTCACATGAATTTCTTTTTTTAAAGATTTCTCTTCAGGTTTAGAAAGTGAATTTGAATTCACCGTGGTCAATCAGCATTCTGTCAGGGTATAATCTCTTTTTTTCATGGTTCATGTGCCTAGCTTGCAACAAGATAGTTTTTTCCATCATAGACTATCAGAATCAAATGACCCTTTGTGATCTAGATCTGTTTTTATACAAAGATATAAATATAGAAATATAGAGACCTTGGAACCAAGTTTTTGGTGCTATGGACTGAACCCAGGCCCTTGGATGTGCTAGGCAAGTGCTCTACCACTGAGCTACATTTCCAGACTTTTTTTTGAGATAGAGTCTCACCATGTAGCTCAGGCTAGCCTCAAATTGATGATCCTTCAGCCACTGCCTCCTGAGTAGTGGGATTACAGGCATATGCCAGTATGCCTGGTGAACCATGTATTTTTCAAATGTTAATTTAAAAAACTGAAGTCTGAAACATGAACTAAATGATCAGATACTTGGACATTTGGACAATAGAATATTTACTCTGCATAAATTATTTTATGACTCAGGAAAAAATATACTTCAGAAATCCAAAGTTTTAAAGAATATCTAATGTAGATAATCAGGGCTGCATTTAGAACTGCAGGAAAATTGAGCACCTATACTGCCTTCACCCTCACAATAGTCACCCTTTTCCTTCCTTTCTCTCTCTGATTGCTGACATATGCTTTTCTTTTTCTTTCTTTCTTTTTTTTTTTTTTTTTTTTGAGACAGAGTCTCACTATGCAGCCCAAGTTGCCTGGAACTCATGATCTTCCTACCTGCCTCAGCCTCCCAAAGTACTGCAATTATGAGCCACCCTATCCAGGTTGAGGTATTCTTTGTACCTAATATCTCTCCATCTTTGGAGATACTCCTCAAAGATATTTTCAAAGAAGTCATTAAGATAGGAGCCCACACAATGGTGCCCTATTGGCAGAATTTGAGACTCTTGTGTTTTGGAAGTACTGGGGTTTGAACTCGGGGCTTGACCCTTGCTAGGCAGTTGCTCTACCGCTTGAGCCAGGCCTCTAGCACTGCTATTGATAGAATTTTGGATGGTGCTCATGTGCTCAGCTTTGCACCATCTACATCCCTATAGATGTTGAAACCACAAAGAAAATAGCAGTAGAGATAAAAAGGAAAAATGGTGAGCCAGGTTCTGAAGTTATACTGAAACAGAGTAACCAAAAGGTTGTTTTATAATAGATAGTGAGAACTTAATCTAATGCTATGAACTTTTAAAAAGCTGAAGTTTTAGAAAAAAGGGGGGACAGACACATACTTTGGAAGTAGTCATGGAGAGAAAGAAGGACATCTACTCTAGCTCTGGCTCCGAGACAAACTGAACAGTGAAATAGCCCCCAGAGGACTAGTAAGTAGGAAGGTACTACAGTCTAAGGATCCTACTACACGACTGGGGAGGAAAAAAGATGTGTCATTTTAAAATCAAGTTGTCAAAAGATATTAGAGAAATATGAAATTCCTGAGTAGGGAGAATGTTCTGTACCGAACTGACAAAACAAAGATCTTTGTCCCCTGGGACATTTGCCAATTCTGGGTCTTGAATGAGGACTGGACTGGGCTAAGGCAGAGGAACTCTAACAGTGGGAAGAGAAAACAGCCTGCTTTTGGTGGATGCTTGGGACTGACATGATAGATTAGAAATCTGAGGTGCCCCAAAATGTGGTCACTTTCTCCCATAACATTTGTTGGGTTCTGGGAGCAATCATGCAGTCAACTGGGGAGCTAGAACAACCCCTAAATGGCAGAGTGGGCCACAATCGCAGGGAAGAGGGAGGATACCTGCCTTAACATACAGTTAACCTGACCTGCAATGTTTGCAGATTTTAAAAGCTGGAGCCTGGGTAGGAAGCTGAAGAGCTAAGCTCAAAACTTGTAAAGAGCAAAACTGAACCTCTTGTAATCTTTCAGAGTGAGGAGACAGAGAAAATTGCTAGTTTCTCAATCTTAAACCCAGAAGAACTCTGTCCAAGTAACAGGACAAACCAGATGTGGACCTAATCTAAATAAAATTGCAGTGCAGCCTTAGCCCAGCTCCACCCAGCCTGGATTGAGATCCTCAGCTCTTCTCCCTATAGAAAGGAAGGGGAGATAAAGAAAAAAAAGAGATAATAAAAAAAATAGAAAGGAAGGGGAAAATCCTCTCTGGCAAGTGAATATATCATGTGGAGTGTTTATTGTTCTTTTTCATACAATATCCAATAAAATAAATCACATGATATGTGCAGAGGCTTGAAGTGTGATGAATAATCAATAAAAGCAAACAAACAATAGAAGAAGACCCACAGAGGATCCAGACATTCAGGGTACCAGACAATGATTTTTAAAACAACAATTATTAACATGTTAAAGAAACATGGAAAGATAGCATCTTTTAATAACTGGAATATATTAAAAAGAATCAGTGGACACTCTAGGACTGATAAACATATTGCCTGAAACTAAGATTTCATTTGATGCATTAAGCAGATTGGAGATAGCATAAAACAGAATTAGTAAAGTGAGAACAGTCACTGAAAAATATACAAAAATGAGCACACAGAAAAAAAAAACATAGCATATAAACAGAAACAGGAAAAAAGAGGTATGTAGGACAAAGTTTAAAAAAAAATAGCATGTTCCCAGAAGAAGAGAGAGAGAACTGGGTAGAAGCAATAGTTGAAAGTGATCATTTCTAAAACTGATGAAAAATATTAATCAACAGATTCAGTACGCCTGGCAAACCAGGCAAGACTTTTTTTTTTTTTTTAAATGAGACAGGATTCACTATGTTGTCCAGCCTGGCCTCTAAATCCTGGGCTCAAGAGTTCCTCAGCCTCAATCACCCAAGTAGCTGGACTATGCCATGGCTCCCAGCTAAGATTTCTTTTTTTTTTTTTTTAATCAGACTTTACTGAAGAAGCTTGCATGTTGGGAAATGATATTGTGAATAAATAACCAGGTTTTACTTAGGACACACAGGTGAAGTTCAGAAGAGGTTAAATATACAGAGAAATCTATGATGAAAGATAATTTACAAATTCCAAAACTTGAAAGAGATGGATTTTAGAATAGCATAAGGCCTCTTAGGAAATTGAGTCAGATAAATAGATATACAGAGATACCTGGCAGAATGGAATTCACCTTAACAGTCTCTTAGGGAATGATGGTGTGCGGGACCCGAGAAGACTGTTCTCTTGCAACTACTGGTAATGAAGGACTCCTCAAGATAAAGTTATCTTAGGCAATAAGGAACACTTGTACTTCGTATTTTGATTTAAAAAAAAACTTCTAAAACACCATCCAAAAAGGAGGAAGGCTATACTAAATTGGAGTACTCCACCCCCCAGCTGAGTTCTCCTCTTTCCCTCCCTGGATCTTTCTCTCCCTCATTATCCGTGTAACTTCCTCTGCACCACCATCCCCATTCCCACCCAAACACATACCAACTATGTGCAGAGAAAATAGAAGTCACCAGAGAACTTTCTCAGCTTTCTACCCGCAAACCCACAAAACCTATTCACCACCTACTGTCCTCCTTCCCTCTTGTTAAATGGAGGTCCCCCCTGTCCAAAGGCAATCCTGATTTGGGAAGGTCCTTCTCCACAGAACTTCTGCAGGTCCTTATCTTAGATGCTCAGTGCCCACTCCCTCCTCTGTTTCTCTGGCACTTTTCTCACTCCTCTTGTTCTCAGGCACTTCTGATCCAAACTTTAAAAGCTGGAATTTGAGGTTTCTGTCCCAGGCCTGGTGCTCTTTCTTCCAGGGAAGTGTCACCCATTCCTCCGCTCTTCCGCTTAAGCCACCACCGCCCCTGGACTGTATCTCCAGCCCAGACATCCTATTAACCCACTGGGATTAATAGGATGACTTCCCCTGGGATTTTGCTCTTCCTTCCCGCAGCTGCTCCTAGCCCCTCCTCTGGGAATATCCACTGACTCCTCCCCTTCTACGCTCGATCTGTGTCTTCCGCCATGTGGCTCTAGTACCTCGCAGATCTGAGGAATGTAGTTGTCCTTGAAGTATTTCCGCAGCCTAGGGGTGGCGGTGCGTAGCGAGGCCATGGTCAGGGGCGGGACTGCGTATCTGCTCTCTGTCAACCTCGCCCGCGCCGCAGCGCGGAGCCGCGACTGCTGTCTGGCGGCGTCGGAGCGTTGCCTGGCAACCACGCGGCGGAACACGGAGCTGCACGCGCTCTTTGCCGCGCTGGGGCGGGGCGATGGGCGGGGCTTTAGGTGGGCGGGGCTCACCTCTCCAAGCGGCGCGATCACGGAGTCCTACTGTCCCAGCCTACCCGGTGGAAGCTGCAGGGACGCGTCGGGCCAAGTGGGAGGGCGTACGATTTCTGCAGGGCGGTTTCCGGGGAGGCGGGTAGTAGATCCTGTTTCCTTTCTGTCGCGGGGTCGCGTTCTGGCCCCGCGTGTGTAGGAGCCTGCGTGTGTCCAGGACCCCGCAGCAGCATGGGCGGCGCGCGGGCTGCGGGTTGGGTGGCGGCGGGCCTGGTCCTCGGCGCCGGCGCCTGCTACTGCATTTACAGGCTGACGCGGGGCCAGCGGCGGGGTGGCCACGGACGCCGGCTGCGCCCATCGCGGTCTGCAGGTGAGGCGGTGGGGGCTGCCTGGCACGTGGACAGGGAGGGGACACAGAGGCCACCCTGGGCCAGGTGCGGCCGAAGACGCCACAAGGCGCCGGTGTCTTCCCTGTCCTGGCAGTACAATAGGCTGAACTGGAGGAGGGACGGAAACCCAGGTGGACAGGGCGGAGCGTCCCTTGATTTATGTGGAATCCGAACCCCTTCTATGCTTCCACTCTGCTGAAAATCCGGGGATGAAAAAAAAACTGCCCCCTTTCCAGCCTGGGTTCGGCGTCACCCCGAGAACTAGGTTTCTCAAAAACATGTTGATTACCTCTGACTTTAAATCTTGCTGTCTGGGCCTTTGTGTTACGAGATACCCGACTGTGGGAGGGCTGCAGCGGCCCCGAGCCACGCAAGGCATTCTGCATGCAGCTGCGTGAAGAAGGGCGCCAGAGGCAGCTCTGCCTGCAGTTTGCCCAGCCTTTGAGAGGGGAGGTACCTCGAAGTCACCAAGGCCCAGCATCTCGCAAGTTGAGGCACGTGTGTGCGTGCTTTGGTAATTGGAACCGATCGTTGTGCACAAGAGACACATCCTCCAGGTGGAGACTTGCTTTCTTTCAAAATGTTGATCGGCACATTCAGAACTCTAAAGGTTTACTGAATATTCTGAAGGGATGTTTCAGGTCATGGAAGCTGTTAAATAATTAAAAATCTGTCATCTAAAAAAAAATGTCTTCCGAAAATGCAGAGAACCAAACAGCTTTATTACTTAATAAGCATTAAACCATTCTCCCTCGAACATCACAGGCAATCTGCTAATGGAATTCCGAAAACAAAGAGTTTTCTCACCTCTTTGTGTAGCAGGACAGATACAACTCAAGTATACAGTAACCTATCTTTAAGTAGAGAACTTGAGAGCACCGTTTGCTATACATAGTTCATCCCAAATTCACTGATAATTGGGGCAGTTATTTGTGTTAGCTAATTGCCTTTACCCCGAAGAAAAATGAGGCATCCTTATGATAAGCAGGTAGTTTAAAATACAGAATATGGTGCCTAGGCTAAGAACTGAGACTGGTGCTTTATCTTCCTTCATGTTTACATTTCAAAGAGAGGGTTTCCAAGCCTTTCAAGGAAAAACTTAGATTTTAAAACTAGCTTTTACTTTTTAAAAAATTCCATTTATATCAAAGGGCCAAAGAATTTGTAATTCACTACTCTAAAAAAAAGTGAGGGAAGTCTTCCCTTTTTGTCACAAAGGGAAAATTTTTTAAAAGATGTATATTTACCCGTGCTTACAAAATCTAATTTGTTGTCTTTCTCTGTGTCAGAGACAATTCTGTATAAATCATTGGTAGGTGACCTGGATCCATGTATCTTCTCACCACACTGATTCAACCTGATGAACAGTAACAAAGTCTTTCTTTTAAATTTACCAGTTCTCACAATCATCATCTTAAATTTAATGCTACAACTTTAAAGCTACACCTTTATCTTTGAAGAAGATACAAGAAATACCCATTTGTCATCATCACCCTTAAATTCTGAAGGGTGTTTTGGTTTCTTTTAAAGAATTGTTTAAACTATTTAGTTTTTTTGTAGCAGTTTTGTTCTTTTTTTTTTGGTGGCACTTTGTGTTTGAAATCAGGGCCTTAGGCTTGCTAAGCAGGAGCTCTTTATCCCTTGGGCCATTCCACCAGCTCTTGAAGGGTGATCTTTTCTGTCTTTAATTTGTAAGTCTTCTACTGTTAAAAGACTATTTGAGAGCATTGGAAACTTGAGCCATACCCGTAGCCCTTCTGTTTGTTTGGTTTTGATTTTGTTTTTTTGAGATTGTGTTTCTAACTTTGCCCAGGCTGTCCCTGAACTTGTAATCCTCCTATCTTAGCTGAGTACCTAGGATTATAGGCATGCACCACCATGCCTGTCTATGTACCTGGATTTTGAGAAAGAAATAAAATGCTTGACTGATACATATTATTTGCATGCAGTGTCTTAGTAGTAAAATATATATATATATATATCTCACATGACTATCAACCAGTTTCTTGATGTCTGAACCTCAACTTCCCATCTATAAATTAAAAATAATAGTCATATCTTCTTCCTAGGGATACTTAAGGATTCAATTAAATAAAACATGTATAGTGCTTAAAACTGTACCTAGCATCAGAGTCTGTGTCTGATAATGTTTTTATAATTAACAACACATTGAGTTATTTGCTTTTTTATGCAGAAGACTTAACCAATGCTTCCTATGATGATGTCCTAAATGCTGAGCAACTTCAGAAACTCCTTTACCTGCTTGAGTCAACTGAGGATCCTGTAATCATTGAAAGAGCCTTGGTCACTGTGGGTAACAATGCAGCCTTTTCAGCTAATCAAGTAAGCACCCTCATTCAAACAAGCAAAACAAGATCCTTCTATCCTGACCCTGGATAAGTTACTTCACCTCTCACAGCCCCATTTCCTCATCTATACAATATGGCTACTTATGCCTATAACATGTTTGTTTACTTCCGAAAGGCACAGCCTATGAAACTGGTCACTCTATCTATTCACCATGTGGCAGTGCTTCAATAAAGGAAAGCACCTAACATTTAAGTACATGCTTTAAATTGTATTACAGATCTTATCAGTATGGTTCTGATGCAGGTGGTCTCTGGACCAAACTCTGATGACCACTAAATCAACGTAAATGGCTTCTACAAGTAGAGACTTAACACTAAAACTAAAGTGCTTAATTTGAATGCTTCCTTCTCACCCCATCCCCTCCCCATTGAAAACATTTTGTAATTTTTTTTAGCTAATGCCTTTTGTTAACATTTTCATAAATGCAAAGTCATTTTGAATTTATAGTTTATTTCAGTTCAGTTTTCTTCAGAATGATAAGGTTTACTGTAAAGCTTTAGCCATTTTTAGGGAGATACTCAAAAATGTTTAAGCATTATTCTATTTCAGTTGCCAAAAAGGGAAAATATTGAGATGATCTAACTTGAACATGTAAGAATGGCACTAAATTCAGGCATAACTGAGTGAGTTTAGGACTGTAGAGTTATCAGAGCTCTTTCTCCACCTTTTAGCTCTGCTTGTGCCTGCTTCTTTTTATATATTGGTTTTTGGCCATAAAAAAAAGTTTGTTTCAAGGAATAGAAAGAAAGCCACTGGTCTCTCAAGACTTTTTCCCTGTAGTTTATGATCCAGAAAGCAGTGCTACTCTGCTAGGATCAAGTACCACACCCTTTGGATCAATTTCTGAAGCAAGGGACTGTGGATCTTGATTGATAAGACCCAACTTATATATACATCCTACAACCACAGCAGGGATGGATGTGAATTCTGTTGACCAATAGTCCTACCAGTCACTATGTAGGATAGAGGAAGTGCTGAGTCTACCTCAGTGGACAGAGAAGCAGTGGACAATGAAAAACAGTAGATGGTGACAGATTTGTTAGCTTTCTCATATAGAAGTATTTGTGTTGCCATAGTTCTATATCCTTGAAGTTGTAGTCAGGCAAGTCCACAGCCACGGGAGCAATTGCGGGTCAGTGACCCTCACAATCAATAATAATTTGTTGATCTCTATCATGTCACATAATGTTTTTGTCAGTGGATTTCATATACCATGGTGGTCCTATAAGATTATATCGCTTAGTGATGTAGCTGTCTTAGCCTGTGCAAGTATGCTCTATGATGTTTGCAAATGATGAAATGGCCTAATGAAGCATTTCTCAGAATATATTCCTATTGTTAAGCAACTCAGAACTATATACATAGTTTAAAAAAAAGAAAGAAAAAAAATTGATTTCTAATAACTAGAAGTCCTTCAAAAGAGCCTGGAACTGGGGAGGGGGGTGTTTTTCTCCAATGCTAAGCCCACCCTTAACAGGAGAAGGTTGGACTGTTTATAAAAAGTAGATGATGGCAATGATTTTTCTCTTTCTGTAACAGAATGCCATGACTGACCTAATAAGAGTAATTTTTAGTTTATTTTTCTTATAAGAATTTAAGCAATTGATATTACTTTCAGTGTTGTGACCAAAGACACATTGTAACATAAAGTTGCAATTGCATGAATTATCAGATTATTTTTCCTTGGGAAATCTGGGCACCATTTTTCAAACTGTGTAGAATTCCAGTTCTGCAAGATGTTAGTATGTTCTCACTCCCAACACTGAAAAATAATATATACTTCTTGTGTATAGTTCATGGAAGTACTAGTCAGTACTTCCCTGTTAGAGATTCTCAGTGCACAATAAACATGTTTACTCTTGTTTTACCCACAGTTTCCCAAATTTATATAACTTTATAACCCTTTTTAGTGTAATATCTAATAACATCTTGAAGGATTAGTGTTCTAAAGAATATATGTGCATAAACGCTGTTTTACTACTGTATTCCAAACTATAATACTTTTCCAGGTTGGCCTGTAATAGAAAAGTCACATAATTCATTTCACTGTAAAATAATTTTGTTTGTAAATTGCTTCATTACAGTAGCTCTACAGGTAACTCCATGTCAGTATTTAAATAATCACATATCTGAATTTTCTTTTTCAAGGAATTTTTTTACCTCTTAAATTTTGGATAGACAATGGGGTCACTATAGATAATGATTGTGTACCATATCTCTCAGAAAGCTAGAAGAAAGAATTTTGAATGTTTTCACCATTAAAAAGTGATGTTTCAGGAGATTGATATGTTTAACCAGATTATACAATGTCTACATATATAAAAACATCACAAAGTACTCCATTAACATATACAGTTTTTGAGTTTTAATGTATCAGTTTAAAAACCAAACTTAATCTTTAAAAATTACTAGTAATTACTATAAGATTTGTATATGCGGAAACATTTTGTTTAAGTGATTAGTTTTTAACTGTATTTATAAAGGCACAGAATTCAATGGAAGGGATATATATTGAAGTTATGGTCCTGTTTTCTTCTGTTAGGCTATTATTCGTGAATTGGGTGGTATTCCAATTGTTGGAAACAAAATCAACAATCCAGACCACAGTATTAAAGAGAAAGCTTTAAATGCACTAAATAACCTGAGTGTAAATGTTGAAAATCAAATCAAGATAAAGGTAAGTTGTCTGAAATTAAAAAATGTGTAAGGCTTTCTATATGTGAAAGAGAAAATTTTTCAAAAAGTACTAAAACTTTAGTAAACTATCCTTTATAATTTTATGGACAAGAACTACCTTTAAAGAAATGGAGAATAAGGCAGAAGAAGAAGGCACTTGAATTACTCAATAAGCAGTCCAGTGGGGTTGAGTTTAATCCAAGGGTGCTAAAAAAGAACCAGATCAGCAGAGTCACTAGATTAAGAAATAGGAATTCAGTTTGACATTTATTGAACTCCTGCTCTGTAGTACACACCTGTAGACATGAGCAGGATACTACCCTTGCTCTAAGAAAGCTGTGCAAGGATAAGGCAAGTCCATAAAAGTTGTAAGTCAAGGCAGAACGTGATGAAGTGTTTTAAGGAGAGATAGGTAAAACATTGCTGAGTACATAGATCCCATCCAAAAGTTTCTGTAAGAGGGTGGAGTTCGTCCTGGCTGTTAAGAATGTCTTAAGGTTTCTACAAGTACAGTTGGGGAAGAAGAGAACTCCAAGATAAAGGAATAAGATGAGGTGAAACAGCTCCAGGAGTAACTGAGATAGCCCTTTTAGTAATCTTTTTACTAGAATTCAAACAGTAAAAAGATTCAGATACAAAGATGAAATGTTCAACACATGTTAGTCAATACTTTGAAAAAACATTAGCATCTTACAAACTATGACTTAAAAAGAGTTAAAGAAATGCTGTTTTTTTTAAAGGCTGGATATATAATGAAATTGTGGTCAAAGAGAGCCAGTGACTTATAAATGTAATTGAGAACTTAAACCCATGTTAAAAGTTTAATCACTCTTTGCATTATTGCATTATCTTGTCTATGGTAACATAGACACATTTGTTTTTTGGTTTTTTTGTGGTTTTTTTTTTTTAATTCATAATGGTTTTTAGGACAGTTGGTCATTTCTTAGCAAATTAGAAAATTTTCTTACCTGTTAGAATTTTTGGTGGTGGTCTTCAGATTTCGTTAGGTAAATATCAGTTATCTGTGAAACATCATTTTTCCAAGCTGGAAAGATCATGACCACATACAGAAAGTAGAGTTGCAGAAAACTTGCGTGACTTAGTTCTATCATACACGAAATAAGAGGTCTACTGACACTGCATTACTTATTTGCCAGTGATGGTTAACAATATGAAGGAGTAGATCATGTATGTATACTTGGATAAATAAGAACAATCTTGGACCAAATATAATTTTTCTTCTTGCTTTTGATAGAATAAATTCCAAAGAAAATTGTTTTATGTTGTCCCCCGATTCCTTACTTCTGACATGATGCAAAATGGCCCCATACATCTTCCTTCCTGATCCTGATGTGCCTAGACCAATAGAAACAGAAAGGTGGACTGAGTTGGAAGACCCATTATAAAAGAGAGGTGACTGGTGTTGAGAACATGATCCCTGGACTTAGACATTGTTCCCCCCAACTGCTGGCTGAGATTGTGCAGGGGACGCAAGCTCCTTGAAGACTTTAAAGCCGTTGGCTGTGAAATGGCCACCCTAATATCCACCTCCATTGAGAGTTGTCTTCAGGATTAAGGGAGGTATATGCTCACAGTGCTCAGCATACTGCCTGGCAGTAACAAATGCAGCTTTCAAAAAGTCACCAAAGTTTGAGGGTCAGATAAAAATGTCACCTTTATGGGGGAGTCAGTTCCATCCTGAGCAATCACCCTAGTTCATTGTATGGAAAAGTGATTGTTCAACAGAAGTTTTGGGAGATGAATGTGTTCATTTTTCCCCCTTTGCCTTCAGATATATATCAACCAAGTCTGTGAGGATGTCTTCTCTGGTCCCCTGAACTCTGCTGTGCAGCTGGCTGGACTGAGATTGTTAACAAACATGACTGTTACCAATGACCACCAGCACATGCTGGACAGCTACATTACCAACCTGTTCCATGTGTTACTGATTGGAAATGGAAACACCAAGGTAGGAAGAGAAGCAGTTATTAATTAAAGGTTAAAGAGCTACAGCATCAAGCTTATTAAGATTGAAATTTAATTTCTAGGCTATCTAGCTTAAGTTGGAAGCTTCTCAAAAAGGGTAATGTTTAATCAAGATTTATTAAAAACCCTCACTTGGGCCCAAGAAGATACATTATTTTTATCCCCAATACTGAATTGTGAAAATTATCTGTTGTCTCATTTATTAATAGGTTGATAGTGTTTGATTTTTTGAAAATCAATAAAATTATCTTTTACTGAAGCAAAACAGCTAGCTAGCTTCCCAAAACCAGAAATAGGAACATTGTGATTAAAATGTTTCTTTGAGGGAAGAGAGGTAAGAAAGAGTTAATAGAGGGGATGAATTTGATCAAAGTACATTATATGCATGTATGGAAAATATCACAATGAAATCCCTTTGTACAATTAATATACACTAATAAAAAGAGGGGGAAAAAAGGTTTCTTTGAGTAATAGTTGTGAAATTTTGCTTAGCACAGGGTGATTCAGCCATTATTTGTTATAAATCTAAAACTACTTTTACACAGTAGTAAATGAAGGGAATTAGATATATGAAAGATAGCTCAGTGCTTCACTTGGTCCAGTTATACAGGTGCTGAAGGCAACAGAGTAGAACGAAATTAAATAGGATCTCAGAAGACACCCTCTGAAAGTTTCTTCAGTTACTGTGCATTCTTACTGCCAATTCTCAAAAAAAGAGCACAAAATAGAACATAGATCAGCGTTTGCTGTAATTGTCTGTGTTCTCTGAGAGAGTTTGAGAGAAAAATGCATGAGCATTTTAGGACCAAATGTGAGGCCATGCTCCAAATAACTAAGTCACTGCAGTGATTTCTGAGGTTATCAGGATGTGATTATGGGGGAGCCTCACCAAAGTCATGCTTTTATGTTTCTGAGGTGTTTGTGTATAGGCTTTCCACATTTCCCAGAGCCAAACTCATTTGGATCTGGTCCAAGACATACTCAGAAGCATTCAAAATTAAATAATAAGAGTAACTCCTCTTTTAGCAATATTGCTCCATTCCCAGGCAATTCCTAGTACACGTGTTCCCATCAACATCTGTCTCTCCAGTGGAGAAGGATAACTTCTAAACCTTTAGAGCCCATGGGACCTCCTCTCCTCTTTACCCTGTGGTGTGATTACTATAGAAATAATCTCACCACCACCATCCTGTGTCGGCAGCTGCTTTACTCAGAACCCCAGGAGGAACTCTTGTTTGAGTTCAGAGTCAAGCAACTCTGGCCTGCAGCCTGTATATATCTGTCTCCACCATGGTCTGTGTTTTAATGTAATTTATAGTTTCTTAAAAAGTGAATCACACTACAGTATTATGTTCTAATTTTGTTTTGTTTTGTCTTCCCATTACATTGCCTAGAATAATATTTCTGGGACAGAAAATTTTGCTTTTTGAGTTTGTTTGTTTGTTTTGGAACATGGTCACCACCAGTTTAACATTGTTTCTTCATAAAAATTGAACTTGAAGTTCCTGCTTACAAGTAAATTTTTGGATAGTCATTCCTATCTTATTGAGAATATGTTACCCATTTTAGATATTTTCTTAGTAAGTAACCACTGGAGTGAATTTTAAAAATCTTATTTTGCTTACAGTAGTGAATTCACTGTGTTATGTTTTTGGAGAATAGCACTGATTCATAACCAAATACAAACAGTGATAAGTTAATACAAACCTTGTGTTTCCCTTGCTACAACTGTAGAGCGTAACTAAACCTAACAGTTTAAAATAAATGCCCTGGAGTCGCCACAAGATGGCGCATGTGACAAGAGGTGAAAACAGAATTTAGGGGTTCAAACCAAACTATGGTACAAATATTTGTTTAATCTATAGTTGTCTTCTATCTTTCTGTTTTTTCCTTCATGTTTAACCCACTTCTACAAAGGATAGAAACATCACATTTTAGTATAGTATACCAAATAGCTATTGTTCTTACTATCCCTCATTGTATACCTCATTGCTGACTAGTGTGCCTTTGTGGATTTACTGACTTCATCCAGGCTTTTCTCATAGGTTCAGGAGCATCTGTTTCATAACTCTTGCTTCTGTTTTCCTAATCTAACCTTCACTGACAGTAGAGCCAGGTGTTTTTTCTTAACATTTATTCTTGGTGTTGTTGACAGCCAGTCAGACCAAATGAGATCTAACAGCACTTCCCAGGGAGGACACTAAAGAAGGGCAGGTGTCTCTTCATAGCCCATAATTTATTAAGAGTATCTGTTTGAAAAACATGATCTCTGCATCTGTAGTTTATCAGTGGTTACCACTGGGAAGTAGAATGGGCCATAGGACAGTAGCTTTTCTTTTTATTTTGTTCCTTCTGCACAGTTGGAAATTTTTATCAAGTATTAATATTATAAACATTTTTAAAATAATTGATAAAAATATTAAGCAAAACCTTATATCCTTCTCCTTAATAAATAGTATGTACAGCATGATTAAAGGCATTACAACTATACAGTGTAAGAAATGTACATGAAGACCAGAAAGAAAACACTAAAACTTTTTGATGATCATCTCAGATCATGAAAATATGAGTGAACTACCTCATCTCCGCATTTTTCTATATTTAAAAATGTTCTAGGAGTATAGCTCAGTGGTAGAGAACTTGCTGAGCATGCATGAGACCCTGGGTTCAATTCTCAGCACTGAAAAGTTCTAAAGTAAACATCTACTGCCTTTCAACCAAAAAAGTTTTATAAAGTACAAACTCCAGTTCCTTCCTAAGTCTAATTAAAAGCACCTTTGTTGTTTTGTATGGACCTCAGTACCCTCTTCTCCTTAAAGTATCTTTGTAAAAAGCATGGTTTCATGGTTTTAAAAGGGAAATTCTATTTGAGTATTTTTACTGATTTTTTTTCAGAAATAAGTGATGAGTGCTGGTATTTTAGCTACTCAGCTGTTATATAACTTTACTAATTATATCACTGTGCCTATTTAAATAATTTTAAAACATGTTTAACATAAAAAAGATAACCTCAGCTGGTGGAGTGACTCAGTCAATAAGAGTGCCTGCCTAGCAAGCATGAGGCCAAGTTCAAACCCCAGTACCACAAAAAAGAAAAAAATAGTAATAAAAAAGATAACCTCAAAGATTCATAGTAACCTAATAAAAAGAAAAGGGTTGTATTATTTATTTAGTCTTGATAACCAAGACTAAGATTTTCAAGATTTAGTTTCAAATTTTTCATACTTTCATTAGACATGAACTAAGCTTTGGGAGATTTTGTTGTTGTTTCAAAGATCATATTTCATTTATCAGTAATCATGTATTAAGTCTATGTATGCATGGAGATTATGAAGACATCCAGAATATTCCTTCTGTCTCTTTAACAGTATGATTAGAAAAGTAATGTTTAAATAACACACTGTTGTGTGATAGCTGCTCTGAAAGTGGTGTCAAGTGCTAGAAAAGTCCAGAGAGAGAAAATTCATGGAGTAGAGAGACTTTAAGCCAGGGCTTGAAATATAGGCAGGACTTTACAAGGGGAACATAGGGAGAACACAACATGCTAGGGAGAGAAAAATTCATGCTTGCTGGTTCTGAAATAAACCAATATTCTTATTTCAGGTTCAAGTTTTGAAGCTACTTGTGAATTTGTCTGAAAATCCAGCCATGACAGAAGGACTACTCAGTGCCCAGGTAAATAGATTACATTTGTTTTGTAAGTACACACATACATAGACTTGGATAGATAGACCTGAAAAGATTTATCTCAAAATGCCCACAGGAATTATCTCTGAAGAACAATATGAAGGTGGTATTTTATTTGCATATATGAATTTTTAAATTTTTCTTTAACAGCATATTTTAGTTTTACAATCATTTTTTAAAATTCTCTATAGCAACAGTAAATTTTGTCTCTGCCCAATTTTGGAAACATCTTGCCAGTTTTGTGCACATGTACCTTAGAATCCATTGAAACAGCAGTGTCCCCAGTATGCATTAGATGCCGGGCAGAGTGCCAGGACACCAGTGAGTATATGGTGCTTGTTCTGGAACTTAGTCTGGTGGAGAGAAAAAATATGTAACAAATGAACAGATAATCAAAATGCATTGTAAGTGTTCTGAAGGAAGCAGAAGTGGTGCTGAGATGAACTGGACCTCATCTTCTGCAGAAAAAGGACATCTGCCCATCCCTGTTCCCTAATCCTGGACCCTGCACTGTGTATGAGCAATAAATACTTGATGAATTGATGTGGTCTCATGAAAACTGTTTGATGGATCCTAAAAAGAAAAATGGATGTTTTCTTCAAATGACTACACTCTTGAATTCCAAGTATTTTTAGCTGAAACACAAAACCTCATTTCCATTAGTGTCCAATGCAGAATGCGTTTGATTTTATACATTTAAGTTATACAATCAGGGTTAATTTTCTGTACCTAAAATTTTTTTAAGTAAAATATTCAATGCACTTTTAAAATATGAAAATTATGCTGTTTCCTTTTTCAGGTAGATTCATCGTTCCTTTCACTTTTTGACAACCATGTAGCAAAAGAAATTCTTCTTCGAGTACTTACACTATTTCAGAATATAAATAACTGCCTCAAAATGGATGGCCGTTTAGCTGTTCAGCCTCCTTTTGCTAAAGGTTCATTGTTCTTCCTGCTATATGGAGAAGAATGTGCCCAGAAAATGAGAGCTTTAGTTTACCATCCTGATGTGGATGTGAAAGAGAAGGTTGTAACAATAATACCGAAATTCTGATTGGTCATATTTTTCAAAACAGTAATGCAGTCTGGAAGTTAACACACAGAACTTACTTTGTCTTCCTTAGAAAAGGATTCTTTCAGCTGCTGAATTTGAACAGTAAATATCACCTTTCATCATTAACACAGTACAGGTTGAACATTCCCTGATCTGACACAATGCTCAAAGTTTTGGGTTTTACAACATTTTAGGGTTTTTGGATTAGGAATGTTTAGCTGGTAAAGTCTGTGCAAGTAGTCCAGTCTGAAAAACTCCAAAATATGAAACACTTCTGGTCCTAAACATTGCAGTTAAGACACTCAATCCCTCAAACTTACCATAGTCTTCAGGTTTATTTTGGACTGATGTCAGGTTAGTATCAGCTATTTGCTGATACTTTAGTGATTTCCTGTACATGAAATGGCAGTGGCGTTTTTATATATGATGTACTTCTCTACTCCTTGAATGGTTTGCACTTATTCATCTGCGACAGCGTATGTGATTTACTCTGGCCTTGTTCTCAGTAGCAATGAGATCTTGAGCTCTCAAATAAACCTGCCAGCTCAGCCACACTGCTAAAGTATATTTTCATCACCACAATCTATTCTCATTCCTAATCAATGAAAAATGTATACTTTTCAGGGAAAATATTTCTTTAGTACTCATTCACTCCCACTCAGTGTGCCAATATATATTATATTTAAAATTCTGGACTCAATCAAAATGTCCAGCCCTAGTTCAACTGGTTAAATCGATGAGCCAATCTTAAGAGTGAAGTGAGTCTAATTGTATGTCAAAGATATCCATGGAGTACGGTTGTTTTTGAAAGCACATGTTGTAAAAGAGTAAGTATAGTATGATCCTATGTGTGGTTTTTAAAATGAGAAATGTTTATGCTTACATATGGACAGAACATTTCTAGAATGGTACTTAAACTCCTGGGAGTGAGACTGAGAATTAGGAACAAAACTTTTCTATGTATACCCATTTTTACTGTTTGAATTCTTTACTATGAGCATAAATTGTGTAATTTTTTAATAAAAAAGAAAAATTACTGACAAGACTATACATCTTTCATTAACATTACTTTATTCTCATCCATATTTTACTTTACTAAAATTATGAAAATTTCTCAGCTATTATCTTTTTATAGTATTTTTATCCCATAAGCTATAACAACTTGATGTATTTGAATGCAGCCAGATTCTGTAATATTCAGTATTCATAACCCTCACCATGCTTAGCATTAAGTAAATGTGTACAACCAGAAACTTTGCTACTTGTGTGTTTAAGACAAAGCTTTAAGAGTACTTAAAATTTCATTTGTAAATGCATGGATACAAGACTATTTGCATAGGAAGTCACAAATCCTCAAATCAAAAAATGTGTGTTCTCAGTAATACCAATACAGAAATAAACTTTGAAAAATATTTTTACAGTAGAAAAGGGTTTAATGTAAGAGGAACGAACAATGGACATTCCCAATGTGCCAGAATAGTACTATAATGTTACGACTAAAAACAGCACTTTTATATGTTAGTGACACAACATTCGGGGTATTTCCTGAAAGGCACATTCTTTATAGCAATTTAAAACAAAATTATCTTCCTATTTAATGAAAATACCTACTCAAAATGTACACACTTCCTAGTTACCACAGCACTGGTTCTGAAATGTCAAAAAGGTAGAGAAAAGGGGGAGTACTTTTTACCTGCCCAGGAAAAATCCACAGTGGAAATACACAAATAGGTCTTTTCTATGTAAGCCATGGCACATCTCCACTTTTATTTGGTGTAATTGCTCCTGATAGACTCAACCTCTTAGGCAGTAAGGCATATCAAAGCGTTCCTCAGTATGCTCACTAACCAAAGAGGAACATGAAATTGACTTGTAGGTAAGATCAAAAGATATTATAATGTATGTTAGACTGAACTCAGGGAAGAGAATGGATGTGTCTTTTCAAAATGTTTTTTCATGGGGGCAGGGGGGAGAAATGAACCAAGCCTTGTATGTACATATGAATAATAAAAGAAAAAAAAAACAATAAACAAAATGTTTTTTCACTTTGCACATAAATCCTTCAAAATGTAGATCAGTGAAAAATAAAGTGGAAACCACTGTGGTAAGGAATGTGAAGTTTTATGTATTTCCTAATGAATAAAATATCAAAGTAGAAAGAATGTGAAGAAACGTGACTAAATGAGGCAGGCCAATTAAAATGGAACTAGAATACAATGTAAAGTGCTAACAGATCCTTGGTTAAACAGGACATGTGAATACAAAAACAATTTTAAGGCCATTCATGGAGAAGAAATACTCAAGCAATATATACTTGGCTTGCTCCAGAGTAGAGATAAGAGATGGATCAATGTGCAGCAGCAAGGAAGAGGACTATAAGAACGCTGGCTAGTAGGGCAATATGCCCCACAACAACCCTAACATCTTGACTCAGGTTTGCTTGGAGCAAAAAGTTTATGCTTGTCCAAGTTTTTCCTGAAGCTTATTTTATGGGAAATGTTTTGTGCTTTAGTGCCTTCAAGTCACGTTCACATACATTACACACACACACACACACACACACACGTTAACACCTATTTCCCCTTGACTTTTTAGGTAAAGTACTAAATTTTGATGAAGATCACATACTGGCTGCTCCTACCCTTCAAATTTACAAAATGAGTGGGGCAAGGTTGGTAGTCTTCAATGTTCAGTATCCTAATAGATATGCTCAAATGCGCAACAGGAACAATACATTATCAAAAGTGTTAGCCACCTTTCAGCTTTCAAATTTACTTATCTATAGTAGGCAGTGGTATCTTCAGAAATAATTTTCTCCCTTAGATTTCTAAAGTGCTTTTAAAAATCTCTTATTATCTACACGTTTGGAGGTAGATAAAAATTATTCTCTTGTTGCACATGAGGAACATGGTGAGCATAGGTGACTGAAATTCCAATTTAATGCCTAACATGTGACATGCACATATATGTGCAAATAAGTTACTGAGAACTGCCTGAGTAGCATTTGGTATAGAAAACATCTATCGATTATATTATTTTGTATGAGCAGTTTGGTTTACTGAGTCAATGGCTTAGGAACATAGAATGGGCCTCCCAAAGTATCTAATATATCTCACTCCCTTAAAGAAGGTTCAGAGACAACTGAATATAGATAGAGCCTTCCTGACTAAAACTCAGGCCAGCTGACACCCAGAACCTTTTTTACCATAGGTATTCCACACTGGCTTCATAAAAGGTACAATCGTGCTTATAGGTCATTTAATATTAAAATATATAAGACATCTGAATCATGTAAAACAAAATATTTATAAAATACATCTTACTGATATTTCTAGAGTTAAAGCTAAGAGATCGAGGGAAAATACGTCTATAATAAGGAAAATGAAGAAAACGAAATTTAACTCAAAATGTATGTCTAGTCACATTTTGGATCGACATTTATCTCCTCTGTGAAATACTTCATTGTAGCTACATTTGTACTTATCACAAGACCTGACTTGGAGATTAGAAATATAAAACTTCACAAGTCATGTTCTCATAACCATACACTTTCCCTTCCTGTGCCCCAATCAGAGAAGTTTTAATTTAGGGATTGTAGATAACGCAGCAGAATGTACTATTTCTCTCTTTTAAGACTTTAGCTCAGGGTGGTCATGGATGCACGAGAATGTGACTAAACACCAAAGAGCTATTCACTTTTTATATGGTTAAATGATAAATTTTATATGAGTTCTCATTTCTTTTTCTTTTCGGTGGTATTGGGGTTTGAACTCAGGGCCTCATGCTACGTAGGCAGGCACTCTACCAACTGAGCCATTCTTCCAGCCCAAAATGATAAATTTTACGTAATATATACTTATCACAATAAAAAAAAACCTAAGCCTTTAAAAATGATAACTTAATCCAAACTCCTATGGTTTTATTCTTAACAAAATAAATCACAATATTTGGCATATAAGCTAATTTTTCTTTTTTTTTTTTATTTTTTTGAGATAGGATCTTACTGTGTTCAAGCTGCCTTGAACTCTCAACCCTCCTGCCTCAACCTCCTTAGGGCTAGGATTACAGGTGTGAATTACTATACCCAGCAGCCAATCTTGATAGAGCAAGAGCTGCAGTGATTATAAGCATGTGTGAGTCAATTTTTATCATTTACAACAACATGAATCTAAGAAAGGAGTGTGTGTGTGTGTGTGTGTGTGTGTGCGCGCGCGCGCGCACAGGCCTCTGGGGGGAAAAAAATCTAGGAAGGTAAACAACCTTGACTCACCTTGTAGAAGGCTCTGAAAAAAGGAAAAACAATGGATCTTTAATACCAGTTTTTTATAACCTTGGAAAATTCTTCTAATACTAAAGTATAATGCTGCAGTTAAAAAGTTATTGCAATGCTTCTACCACTGGTATAAGTTTTTTTTTAAATCCACATTGGCCAACTCCTGAACTCTCTTTCATAGTTTACATAAGCTGATCATCATAACAGCAAAGCAAGTTATTACACGAAACATAAAACACACACTTGCAGAAGTTTTTTCCAAATGTAAAAAGTAACAATATTCATGAATTTCTTAGTCTTTCCATTTGTTTTCAAATTTATGTCAAATGATGCTTCTTTTTTCATTAAGAGCTCCTGGGTTCATATTTATTCAAAGTTTTATCATCAGTATTTAAGAATCTTGATTCTCCATGCTTTAGAACAAAAAAATCTTCGGCCTTAAGTCCATATCTTTCTAGAGCTTCACTCAGTTTCACTGGAGGCTCTAAGTAATGCTGGCAAAGGACAGAAATAAGAAAAACGAAAAAAATTAACTATACATATATTTGGAGAGTGTTTCCAATAAGAGTTCAAACTAAAATAACCAACAAGTATCTATGTAAAACAATACCTTTTAATTGAACCATTAGAAATTCAATCGTGTTTTTTTAATAGTTTGGGTCATTAATTGTGCAAGCAACATAAATATCTATGGCTAGATAGAAATCAATACATCCAAACAGCTGTGTGTCAACTGTGGAGCCATCTTAGATTAAATATCAAGATTATATGAAATAGTCTCCCTATGAAATTTCCATCTCAATGGAATCAATTCCAAAAATGATAAGTGGATGTTACCAACATTTTTAAAGCATATGGAAATGTGAGCGTGTATCTGTGTATGTATATGTACATATGTGTATGTATGTGTGTACAGACATATATATGTATATGCAAATACTATAGCAAATGCTTCAGCTGTTTCTAGTTGAAGGGCACAAAACCTCTAGCCACATATAGAAACCAAAGTGTGCAGAATGAAAGAGGGCCGCAAGAAACAGAGACACTAGAGCGGAGTTTCCCTCGTTCCCTTTATTTCCTCAACTTTTCATAGCTCAATAAAAAGGGAAGATAGCACACAGTATGTTCCAAAAATTTTCGCCCACTTGAATGTTTTCCAAAAAAGTTGAGACCACTTGAATATGGAATAAAATAGTTATTTATAAGGAACTTTAAAAATACAAAGACAAATCATTTCATTAGGTATATCTCTTTTGAACTAAATCTTTACTCTGTGTTACAGCTATTCTTCCCTTCATTAAAAGGTTTTTTCCTAACTTCAATTAGAAAAGCTGTAAAAGTGAAGCAAAAAAATCAAACAATCTCAACCAAGTATAGTAGTACAAGTCTGTAATCTTGTACTCAGGAAGCGGAGGCAGGAAGATCATGAGTTTGAGGCCAGCCCCGACAAAGATAGCAAGACCTTATCTCAAAACAACAAACAACAACAACAACAAAATACAATCAAAAGGGCTGGGGGCATGGCTCAAGTGGTAGAGCACTTGCCCAGCATGCTTGGAGGGCCCTGTGTACAAGGAGTCTGCCTGTCCCTTTAACAAAAAGTACCTTCTGAGAATCTACAAAGTGTGCCAGCTTTGGGAATTAAATCAAAAATTCTTGCTCCTCTTACATTCTACTATAGAGATAAGAAATGAAATAAAAAATAGATACATCTAAATGGTCAATACATTCTGGAGAGAAGAAAGTGCTGGGGATTGAGGTCTAATTTCAAATACAATAGTCGACGAAGTCCTCTCAAGAAGGCGCCATATGAACAAAGACCTGATGGAGCAGATTGCACAAGGCTTTCACAGGCAGTAATGAGAGCTGAGGCTTTCCCTCTGACAGAAGAGTGGACTGAAGTTGTAAGATCACTGCCCTTTAACAGTGCTGAGCAGAGACTATAGGGGCAGTGTGGTAGCAAGAAAGAAGGTAAGAAAAGATCAAATTCTGAGTGTAATCTGAAAATTGAGCTGATTATATATGGGCAAGGTGGGGAGAAGGGAGGGACTGGATGAAGATGTGAGGAAAAAGAAGTCAAGGTTCTGGCCTGAACCTAGGAAGAGGGAGTTACTATTTACTAAGCTGTAAGAGAAACAAGTTTGAGGGAAGATCAGAAAGTTTGGTATCAGACTTAAGTTCCAGTTAACTAATGCATAGCTAAGTGGAGATGTCAAGAGACAGCTGTATATATAAATGTGGATAATGAGAGAAATCTTAAAAAGGGCAGGAGACAGATGGTATTTAAAGCCATAAGGCTAGATGAGTCCCTAGGGGAAGAACCAAGCAAAGAATGCCTTCAGCATTCAATGTTTAGATGGAGGGAGATGAAGAGCTAGCAGTGGAGACCAAGATAAGACCTTGAAACAATTCTTGAGGCACATGGAAGTCTTTCACTTCCACATTTATGGCTATGCTTAAGGAGTCACTGCCTTTCAAATGACTTAGGTTTTAACTAAAACTTATTTACTCTGTATTCCTAAAGATAACCGCTTATTAATGGGTAGGTGGTACCAGAAACCTATTTTTAGTCTATTTTATAAATATAGAAAGGAGATCACTAATACACGTCTAATAAAAATTAAGTAAATACTAGCCTAAGTCAAGGAATTTCTCTTGCAAAGTTTTTTTTTTTAAAAAGATTTCAAAATGATGAAATTCTTTCTCAATAAAATGTAATTCCTTTTGTTAAATTCTTTTCACCTTATGCTCTACAAGTCCTGGCCAGCAATACATGTACACACAATCACCCCACATTGACAAGTTCACTGCTAAGCTATGACTTTAATGTAGAGCATGATATTATGCTGACTTGGTGTGAGTTTGTTTTTGTTTTTGTTTTTTTGTGGTACTGGGGCTTGAACTCAAGACCTACATCTTGAGCCACTCCACATGCCTTTTTTGTTATGGGTTTTTTCAAGATAGGGTCTCTTCAACTATTTGCCTGGGCTTATTTCAAACTGCGATCCTCCTGATCTCTGCCTCCTGAGTAGCTAAGATTACAGCTGTGAGCCACCGGTACTGGCTTTGTGAGGATTTTAGCTGAGAGTAGACCTTTTGACTTTAATCTGTCTAGAGTTAGCAGTATGTTTCTGAGTTTTTTCACACATTAATTCTTGGTTGTTCTAACCATCTAGAACCTTAGAAGTAGGTAAGGAAGGCTTCTAAGTGACTGATATTATCTTATAATCCAAATACTTTACTCCACAAGGGACTAAAACACCCCACAGTCATGGGACCAAACAACCATGAAAAAAGCAAGATAGTAAATCAGAGATCAATAAGAGGAAGTAGGGACAACAAAAGAGCTCCCAGCTCTTCCATTAAGCACTAGCTAGACAACTCCTAAGTTCCTAAAGGGATCACTGTCTTATGATTTACTTACAATAGAATCTATTCAAAGTAAAGATCCAGGCCAGTAAAAAAGTTAACATACATTATATAATGCTTGAAAATTATGTCTTAAACACATCCTAAGGAAATATGCTTATCAGTCCATAAAAATTAGATGTTGCTATATTTATAATTCTAGAGTAGTACCAAGTTATGGACTCTTATTCTGCTTATATTACCATGGACAGCTATTATAACCACTTGTTTGCAAATAGTTTTAAAGTGTTTAGAAATAGGTTATACATTTCTGAAAATCCTGTCTACTTTATTGTTTAACATACTCATAGTTAAACAAACTGCTAGAATAAATAAATTTTTATTACATATCTCATTAAGAAATAAAGATGGAATCCAGGCACGGTGACACATGCTAGTAATTCCAGCACTCGGGGGCTGAGGCAGGAGAATTCAAAGTTCAAGGCTAGCCTGAGATACATGGAGAGGCCCTGTCTCAAAAATGAGTAGGTTAAATACAACAAGAACAGTTTTGCTGAGTAGCTCAGGATGTCCTCAGACCTCAGCCAGGATGTTACCTCAGCCTCTAGAGTGCTGGAATTACAGACATGTGCCACCACATCTGGCTTACGATATTTTTTTTGGCAGTACTGGAGTTTGAACTCAGAACCTCACACTTGGTAAGCAGGTGCTCTACTGCTTGAGCCAAGCCTTTAGTCCTTTTTGCTCTGGTTATTTTTGAGACAGGATCTCACTTACTACCCGAGGCTGGCCTGGACCACAATCCTTCTACTTTTGTTTCACCACTAGCTGGGATGACAGGCAGGAGCTACTGTAACCTACTTACAATAACTCTCAATGACTGAAGTCTTTATTCTCTCCTCATCTTCCCCATCTCAGTAAACAGCACAACAATATACCTAATCACTTAATCTAAAATTTTTCATTTCCTTCTTTGCATAGGTTTAATAAAATATTATCACTTCATCTAAGTCACTAATAGATAATATATATGGAACATTCAGATACACATACCTATAGAGATGGAATAAGAAATTACCACCAAATATAGTAGTATGCCACTATGACCAATCTCAAACTTGTTCTTCGTAAATACACATACATGCACTTCATACTCTCCTGCCTTCTCTCTGCCCCCAGAGTTACTCATTATTCGTTTCACTTTATCCCCTGGCAGCACAGCTAAGAGTCTCTGCATCGTGACTCGGGGTTACTGCATCATAGGATGGGAAATTTGATTACGGGCGGGGGGGAATGGGCAGGAAATGTATTAGGTAATTTTGGAACAAGCTGCATCTGAAAAAGAGGGCAAGCCAGAAATAGGACAGAGGGGAAAAGCTAAAATTGTCAAGAAAGCACTGGGTTTCTGCAGAGAAGCCGTGGGATGTGGAGGATGACACAGAAAGCAAAGTAGGAGAAGCCAAATTCCAACCATCTCTTCCTAAATTCTGCTTAGGGCAGGATTTGGATCCAGGAAAGGAGAGAGAGGTTTACAATCCTGGCCTTTATCTGAGAACCCAGGTTAGCAGCAGAGTTTTTACGGTTCAGCTCCCTTAAGGAAAAATCAGCTCTCTTGTTATATAGTCTAGGACTAGAACCACATCTATCCCAATGCCTGGTACATAGCAAATACTGGGTCAAGATTTATGGATGACAGACAGGCATGGTGGTACATGCCTCTAATCCTAGCCACTCAGGAGGCAGACATAGGAGAATCATAGTTCAAGGCCAGCCCAGGCCCTATCTAAAAACAAACTAAAAAGGAAAGGGATTGGGAGTATAGCTAAAGTGGTAGAGCACTTGCTCTAAATCCTACCACTGGTCAAACACATAATCGGAACTATTTTTATCACAAACTTACCTCATTTGCTAAGGCAAAAGTTCCCCAGTGAATTGCCACAGATTTCTTTGCTTGAACATCAATGTGAATCCTTACGGCATCTTCTGGGTTTACATGCTGGTATTTCATAAACCACCTGAAAAACAGCAATTTGTTAATCTAGCCTTTGAATAGACCCTAAATTCTACTTACTGCTTCATCTAATTGACCTTTAAGATTCTGCACAGGACTGTATGTTTGAAAAATGAGAAGCAACTCAGCATGATTATTTTACTTCCCTGCCTTGATGCTTCATTTGATTTTGAATCAGTACACCTAAGAATTAGGTTGAACTGCCAACAAAACAGCAACATGCCATAGTGCTACTTTCAACCACTTTTCAGCCTTTGGATTCACACTGGACTTGTCTAGAGAACTTTTAATGAATATTGTTGCCCAGACAGTACCCTCAGTGACTCTTGACTTAATTATTCTGGGTTGGGACTTGGGCATTAGTTTTTTTAAATCCCCCAGGTGAGTTCAATGTATAGCCAAAGTTGAGATTGCTACAGAACACAAGCAATGTTGTGAATGAGCCAGAAAACAAGCCTGGAAGCAAGATCAAGGCTTAATTGTAAAATAAAATAGACGAAAAAATTCAAAAAAGAGCTGTGCGCGCTGATGGCTCATGTCTGTAATCCTAGATACCTGGGAGGCTGAGATCAGGAGCATCACTGTTTGAGGCCAGCCCGGGCAAATAGTTCATCTGACCCCCATCTCCAAAATAACCAGAGCAAAAATGTACTAGAGGTATTAACTCAAGTAGTAGAGCAGATGTTTTGTAAGCACGAAGCCCTGAGTTCAAACCCCAGTCCCACCAAAAACAAAAACAAGAAGCAAAACCTGTTTAGCAAAAACCCATTTACAAGGCTGGTTGGGTGGCTCAAGTGGTAAGAGTGCCTTGCCTAGCAAGCACCTAAGTTCAAATTCCAGTGCTGCCAAAAAAGAAAAAAACCTCAAAAACCCATTCACAATAAGCAAAACACCTTCCTTTGGCCCCCTTTTCAGCTGAAAAACGAAAAGCAAAAATCTTGTGCATACAAATGCTGCATAGAAGTGAGTCTCAAGCAAAACTCCTCTCTGAACAGTAAAATTTTGTTTCATGTACATTCTGATTTTTAATGATGACATATTCTGAAGATATGACTTAGAAAGCAGACACTTTGCAATCCTGGGAATGAAGCAAAGAAACTGAAAACTTGGTAAAGAACTGAAAATCCAAACTCCAATTACAAGAGAATCTGGATAGCCAGCAGCAATAGTTTTTTTTAAAAAAACTTGCTAAATTGGTAAGCAAACAAAAAGTGTCTAAAGTCAGGCACAGTATTTGAGACAAACCTGTCTCAAAAAAAAAA